CTGTTTCAAAAGATGTTTGGATTGATCAGAAAAGTTTTTTAGAATAGCATAGTTTGATGCAGTAAAGATGTCATACCAGAGGGAGGGATAAAACAGATGCCTACAACTCTAGATCAAACTGAACAATTTCTTGATTACAAATTATTTCAATTTTTCTTTTTATTTTCTCATGCTTGCAAGTAACAAATTGACAATTCTGCCCCTTTATAGACATGAATGAGAGAGGGGGGAGGAGAAAGAGAGAGAAATCGGAAAAAAATTGTGGCTGACTTCCTTGATTTTCTAAGAATTCCTAGAATGGATCTCCATATTATAAAGCTACTGATAAAACCCCATGCAGTTATTTACTTCATGCTGAGTAAATAAAATGGTACAAAACAATCCTTTGCATATCTCTCTCTCTTCTCCAAGATCATAGCAGTGAAGATGTTCTATAGGCATTTAATGAGATGTCTGCAAATGAAAAGTCAATCTCAGAGAACCCCTTCAACTGCATCTCTCACTCTTCCAAGAAATGAAATAAGATGTAACTATCTGCAAATCCTGTAAAACTCTGGTTTTATGTTTTATTTTTTGCTTTTGTGAGAAGTCACAGTGATAAGTGGGGAAAAATGTATTATCACCACATAAGTAGTTTCCATCAAACCAATGTTAATTTCCAGGATTGAAGGGATCAAAGACATACCTCCTCCGTGGCTCTGGCAGAGATAAGGGAAGCGCCATACATTGCCCAAGCCTACACAAAACCCGATGCAGGTGAGCATGTATTGTGCTTTATTGTCCCATTTGGGTCTTGAGTCTGCTTCTGTAGCTTCTATAGTTTCTAGTTCCTTGTGGGAAGGTATTCTCGACTCCAGACCAGGATTTGGCAGTTGAAGTTTCACCATGGCTGGACGTTCTTCTACAAAGACCTGCAACAGGTTCTGAGCTGGAGAAAAAGGAAGTCTTAGCTGCCAGCTTCAACTCTTTATAGTGAACCTTTGACACTAAACGTCCTGATGCTGACTTGGGGCAGAAAAGAAGCGTCAGCAACTCATTTGATTAACCAAGGTTACTCTGAGACTTATTAATGTCTTATCTGCCAAAGCTCCAACTGAACAGAGAGATTGCTTGGTATCAAAGCTGTGAATAGTAGCAATTCACAAGCTAATTTGCTGCAAGGTACATTAAGCAGGATATTTAAATAGGACTTGCTGCATCTTTCTGCTAACCCTCATTAACACCAGATAGAGAGGAGAAAATTAGTCCAGCCGAATTAAAGCTCATAAACTGTAATATTTCATCCCTGATTTTTTTTTAAAATGTGTGGCTATAGTATACACAAATAACATTGGAACGTCTAGAATTCTTAGCGGTTCTACAGTGTTGGATAGGTAACACAACTTGCAAGTAGTATGCAAGAGTGCATGTACACCCCTGCCCCCCTCCCTTTCTTGTTGATTTTAAATCACCTTGTCTTCTAACTTTCCATTCTCACTAATGTAAGTCAGGACAGCAGGCAGGAAAGAAATACTTAAATCCACATTTAAAGGGGAGCATGGAATATGATGTTAATTCTGTAATGCCTAGCTGGATGAACTGGAATGGAATGATCAAAATTACAAATAAGGCTTCTCATGGGTTTGCAGAAGAGAGGAATGAAGGATTAAGCATCTGATTTTGCATCATAGCAACTATAGCTCCAGACTGGAATTCCCTGTATGCTACAAAATATACAGCGTTGCAAGTAACTTACACTGTTCTTATTCACTCAGGTGAAGCGTTTTCTTCAAAGATCTACGCTTGCACATTTAGTAGATTTTTCCAGGAAAAGAAGGGATATGAAATTCCTTCTTAGTATTCCTACCCCCAGGATGTTACAGTGCTGCTGCTCTTTGCAGATGTACAGCCTTAACCAGTAGAGAGCAACAGAGAACCTACCATAGGAAAAAAACAAATTATGCTGGGCAAAGTAGCAGGAACGGCTCATTTGTGAGTTTTTTTCAAACATGACACTGAAATGGAGACCTGCACTGCACTTCTTCAGCAGCTCCAGATTTTTTTTTGATTGAGAAAATCTCCATTTTAAGAAAAAAGGTTGGAGTATTCTCTGCTGGAGAACATGCCTATTAATTTGTATCACTGAACCACTGTTTTTAGCCATGGTGAAGATAGTATTTTATTTTCTCATGATGGATACCATGGGTAAAAAAAAGCTGATATGAATACAGCCATATTTGTCCAGTGTACTTAGCTGCATTTTGTTACTCTGAGCAGACCCAACTAGGAAAAACATGCAGGAACTTGGTACAGAGGTAAGAAATGGATATTGTGACTCTGATTGCTTCAAATTATGAAAATTAGCAACTACGCTGTATGTCTTTGGTGTTTTTTGTTTTTGTTTTGATGCCTTCGAGTCATTGTTGACTCCTGGCGACTGCCTGGACAAGTCCCTTAAGTTTCCTTGGCAAGGTTTTCAGAAGTGGTTTGTCCTTGCCTCCTTCCTAGGACTGAGAGTGAGTGACTGGCCCAAGGTCACTCAGCTGGCTTTGTGCTTAAGGCAGGACTAGAACTCATAGTCTCTGAGTTTCTAGCCTAATGCCTTAACCACTACACCAAACTGGCTCTCTATGTCAGGTGTACCTATACTGTAACAGTCCCTGTCAGTTTTCTCAATGCAAAAGTATTCCCATCTCTAATCTGGCTTCCAAATGCAAGTTGGCCACCATGCTTGTGATTGCAAGATGGCTGCTTCCATGCTCTGGCCAGATAGCTACTTTTTTAAAAAGTAAAGACAATTAGGAAGCATTCTGTGAGGAAACAGATTTGCAGGTGGCCTGGAAGCTCTCCTCTACAGAGAAATGGAGTAAAAGTGGTATTTTGAAAGCGGCAGGAAGATAATTCAGTGTTGTAAGAATAAAAAATCATTCAAAACAAAGATCTCTACAATTAGCAATTGTCAGGGCTTGTTGTGTGATATGCAGCTAATTCTTCTTTCCAGCTATCAAAACAGGTCAGAGGTTAGAGCAACTATGCAAAAGCATGGCTATTATATGCTCTTTGACTCTATGGTTTCCGTTTTGCAATCACCATGGTGTAAGTTAGGGCAGTGTTTCTCAGTGTTGGCAACTTTAAGATGTGTGGACTTCAACTCCCAGAATTCCCTAGCTGTGCTGGCTGGGGAATTCTGGGAGTTGAAGTCCACACATCTGAAAGTTACCAATGCTGAGAAACACTGAGTTAGGGAATGAAACAGAAGCTCAGAGGCCCTATGTGTGTAACTGGTATGTTTGTGCAAATGGTAAGCAATTTCATGTTTAATGTTAGCACTTTCAGGTAAGTTGGGGCATGATCCCGATCTGCACACCAGACTCAAAGGAGCATGGAGCATAAAATATGAACACAGACTTCATGTAGGTGTTCTATTTTTCCCTCCTAAATTAACTTTCTCTAAAAAGAAGAACGACGGAAGAATCATCATGGGCAAAAACCTATCTCTGTGGTTACTATCGACAACCACACAGCAATATGAGAAGAATAGAAGAATAAATAAAAAAGAATAAAAGAATAAGCACATGTCCCTTAGCTGGGGAGGAATACCCCAAAAGAAGGCAGAATTGCTCCCTGACCATTTCAGTGAGTGGAGAGTAGATGAAGGGGACAGAGAGAGACCAGGAGGGAGAGTAAAGGAGAGCGCTAGCTCATTGCCAGCTCCAAACAAAAGAAAGCACCTCACTCACATAGCAGGAGACTAACTGCTAGAAGTAGGGCAGCTACTCACCCATCTCACCAAGGCACTAAGAAGTCTCCTTTACAATGAGGAGAAACAGCTCTGGCCAGGCAAGGCATGCAGGGAACAGCCGTATTCCTAATCCTCCATAAAGACACCATTACAGCTGGGGCTTTCTTTGGGTGTAGCCAAAAGAATCACGACCCACAGGGCTTACTCTTTCCTAATTACTATGGTGGGCTGCCAAAGATGACTTGAAAGGCTGTGAGTTTGAGTCCTCTGGTATAAAAGCAAATATTGGCATTCTAGTTAATGAAAAATGCTGCCAGGTAAATAACCAAACTGAAATGATGAAAAGGTAGCTTTGTTTGGCAGTAAAGCTTTTTTATTTAATAAATGCATGTTTAATGGCATACCATGAGATTCTTCATTTGCCATTCATGAGAAATTTATATGTAAAGGTATGAAACAACTTCAGTGTTGCAGCCCTTGAGCTCATGAAGTACCACTTCTCATGCAGCACTCTGCAGAACTGACCTTGAGATCTCAACGTAAATTGAGGTAGTGGAAGTGTGGATGCTTTCTAATGATAGAAAAGTATGGAGATGTACAGTAAATACTTTGGTGTAAATCAGATTTCCATTTATCAGCCAGCCAGCCAGCCAGCCAGCCAGCCAGCCAGCCAAATTTATATAGCCTCCCATCTCACAAGAAGTGATGCTGGGTGGTGCATGACAATCAAATTTTCCTTTTGTCATCCTTTGGCTTACTGTTTCTTACTTCTTCTCTATGCTTTGCATAATGTTTCCTATCCAAAAAGAGATTAGTATCATGGATATGTAGGTATGTATATCTCAGTATAGTTGGACCAATGTCAGTGGCCTGTGGTAGTACCAGGAGTTCTCACAAGAAGTTTTTGACAATTTAGTTTAACCTTTAAAAGTGAATATTGAAAAATATTACACAGACATTATTTAGTTACTTTAAGTGCATTTATATCAATAAAAACTCAACAAGAAGTTCTTAAAAATGAGCAACTCTCCATTTGAATGCTAATTTTTTAAAAACAATTTTAATACTAACAATATGTATTTGAATAAGAAAATTAAATGGGTCAACTATTGATTTTATGTTTTATTTAAAGGTGAAATAAGAATATAAGCAATATATGTATATGAGATCCTAAAGCAACATTTCTAAAATAACTGTATTAAGTCAAAAAGCAAGATCCTTTCTTTGAATCTCTGTATTCCTGAAGATACATTCATATCTTTGCAGTGACACTAGTGACTCAAGAGGCTTGATCATTTCCACTAAAAACTTGTTGCAGAAACAGTGGAAAGAGAGCACTGACAGGGGACAAAAAAAAAAAAAAAAGATTGCACTTAGAACATTGCTCAGTAAAGAATATCAACAACATTTAAAAACAAAGATTTCCAAGAAGGCAACTTGTTTTACTGCATACAAGTACATCTGTACTATGTTCTTCTTGTAAAGCTTCTGTTATCACATCTCCTCTTCCTTCTTCAACTTGCAATACACACATACAGATTATTGCACCACTCCAAAGACACAATCCTCTCTATCACGTAACTATTAAATCAACACTAAGTTTTATGCCCCTTGTAGAGGAGAGGAATTTATAGCCTATACATTTTATGAACTCAATGTTTTTTTTAAACTATCTCTATAGGAATGGACACTGAAAAATATTCTAACAAAGATTAAGTATAATCCATTAACAACATCATTTAACAACGATTCGGTATACAATCCACAACCTCCATTTTGGGACTGGCTTTGAGTTGGAAATTGCATAGTTTAAACATCTGGGTTAATTAATGAGTTTTACAGAACTTGAAAACTTGCATCTTCTTCTGTGTTATTTTCGTTGGTCTTAATAAATGTGTCAACTATCTAAAGGCTTTGGATATCTGTTTTATGGCTTATGTTCCCCCTCCCTGTGTGGCTCTCTCCACATATTCGGTCACTGCATTATTAAAATTATTTGGAAAAAAAGCTTTTGGAAAAAAATCCTTTTCTTTTAGGGTTTTTGTAAATATAACTTTTGTCATCATCATATACTATATGTGCAAAAACCTGTAATATTAAATTAATAGCCTCAAAGGATTTTAGAGTTAATGCTAGTATCTGACATTAAATATCTTATTGGAACCACTGGATGTTGTATTTTTCTTGCCAGAAAATCAAGATGTGTTCATGCTATTTTATTTATGAATGAATGAATGAATGAATGAATGAATGAATGAATGAATAAGCCCCTTTAGCCAAGGCTACTCTAAGTGGCATACCAAAGCAACAACCCTAACCAATATAACAGTTAACAGTAACGTACAAATTATAATACCTTTTCAAGTATTCCAAGAAGCCTTTCTTTTTCAACTTAATTCTTTGCTCTGATCTGTTTTGCAAAGTTAGCATATGTCTCTCTTGTTGATTGTTCTCTGCATTTTTGGTCCTGTTAGTTTCCACATGTTGCCCTATTAATAAGTAAGAAACAGGAAAACAGTGTGAAAGACATTTTCTAAAGAATGTGTAAGGTCAACAATGCCTTACTAATTTGCGCAACTAGTAGTTTGATGACCAGGGAGAAAAAGGGGGAGGGGTTGCATTTATGGGATGCTCCCCCCGCCCCCAGGATCCTCATCCAGAATTTCTTTTCACTGCCAAAAGTTGCTTCCAGATTTGTTAATGGGCAATGCACTTTTTACATTATGCAATTTTACAGGGTATTACCATGGTCATGATCCTTTGGTCATCAGTATATTAGCTGTCTTCATCCAGTTTTTTCTTCCAATGGCATAGCCCATTTCAGCATAGGGAAAATAATTTATTTCACAAGGCTTGGTATTACTTATTAGAATTAAGGTTGGGACACAGTTACTCAGTTAAGAACAAGTTCCCAGTGTTTATGCCAGCCCTGCATCTTCATAGTTACCTAAAGCCTTTACGTTATAACCATTGGTGGTGGTGGCAGAGCTACAGTATGAATACTTGGTTTCTTCTGACTGATTCTGGGGGGAAAAAAATCAAGATTTTATTATTTTTCTCTAATATTGATACAAACTGATTTTGTAAAGTTCTTATACTTTTCCCATTTTCCCTTGCAGCCTGTGTTTTTCATAGACATTTAGGCACACATCACAATTACGACTAGTAGGGAAAGAAGGAGGAGAATTCATATGTAAAGAGCAAAGACCGAAGCAAGAACATATAGTTGCAGTAAATCCTTCACTCGGGCTGCATCTGCATGACATCTCAATATGTAGTCACAATAAGTCACAGTGGTAAATGTATGGGAGATACAGCAGTGGTTAAAAAATGTTAGAAATTGCTAGTGCAGAAATTAGTTTCTGATGAAAGGCGATATTTCTATAAATATTAACATTCACAGAATGAATCTGGGTTTATGTAATTCTGCAATACCTTCACTGGATGCATCATATCTTTTTGAAGTCGTGTCCTTCCAAATTCAGCATTTGGCTGGCTTGCATCATACATAAAGATTGCATTTTTAGCCACATTTCTGTAAAAGACATTTTAAATGATCAAATATAGGGCTGCCTTAGCTTCTGCAACAAATTATTGGAAAGAATTAAATATGCAGAAAAGAATTATAAGCATCCATTTAGAATAACCTTTTATAAAATGCATATTTGCCAAAACAACATTTGCAGAAAAATGTTTCTCCTGCAATAATTGGAGTAGAGGCCACACTTTTTTCAAAAAAGTATTTAATTACTGCATGACATTTGTAAACAGATTATTTCCTGATCCCCTCTTGGGCACAAAGAAGAAATTGAGGAGAGGTGAAGCATATGAGTTCTAGTCTCACTCTAGCCCACTTACATAACATTACAGGGAGGCCCCAGTTTAAGAATGAGTTCCATTCCCAAGGCCTGTCCTTAAGTCTAATTTGTATGTAGGCTTCAACAGTATTATTGTATAATACTGTATAAGTAGTATTGAATAATGAAACAATGTGTATTTAACTCAAATTTTGCTCCAATAGGCTCCTTTCTTAACTATGGGTCATCCTTACACCGGGTGATCTTAACCCTTTGGACAACCTGTACCCTCTTTGTAGTCCTTGAAGTCCTTTTTTTTTTTTAAAGCTACATAATATGCTGGCGCTAAACTTTTACTTATGTCTTTCTTGCTAGGATGAGTCGGGAATTGTGGAATTCTATTTTGTTCATTTCTTATGTAATGGTTTTACAATAAAATTACCATGCAGTGTTTATAGTGAATTAGTTTTGTACAGTGAATATTTTAGTTTAATCTGTCCCATACAATAATAATTCTTACAACTTTTATATATTTATTCTGTTACCATTTATCACAGCCAGGATTCTTACTAGGATGAGAAATATGAATTTACCAGCAAAATTGAAATAATCTGCATATGAAGGAAATGTTGTAAAACAGCATCATTTCTCCATATTAAAAATAAAATAGTAACCTTTTATTCCCTCTGAACCATGATAAAAGCATTTATATTACGCACTGAATTTCCTTTCAAAAATTAAACATGTGTATGTATGTCATGGTACAGGTATTCTCCCTTCTTTGCGTTCTATACCTGTCAATTTGGTTTGGAAATTGCTTTGATATTACCCAAACTCTTGGCACACAATTTCATATTGTTTTCATGTTGTGGACAAAGTAGCCCAACTATGAAAAGTCGGTGGAAATCTACGGAATAAGAGATCTTGATTATTATACTCAGGTATATCTTCCACTAAGTAAAGGAGAAATACATGTGTTCTTCCTTGAATTAAGCTGAAGAAAATTTCCCAGAGAGATAGAATTTTGCAGTTCATTATGAGTCATTGGCTTTCTTATTCATTCATAAGTAAAACTTAGAAACTGGCCAATCCAAACCTCAGATGAGAAAAAAATGCCTGACTGTGAAACATTACTATTCTCCAGTCAAAGTGCAGGAAACCTTTTGATGACAGGTCGGCCTTAAATTTTGAGGAACAGCAAGGACTATTTCAAGGCAAGGAAATTAAATTAACTAGGTTGGGTTTTAGCCACACTCTTCAGTTTATTTTATTAGGTTTATTTTATTAGGTTTATTTTATTAGGTTTCTTATTTTTATATATTTATTATTTATATATATTTTATTAGGAGCAGGGTTAAGCCATGTAGTATTCTGGGGCACAGATGTCTACCGTTAGCATTGGGGTAACAGTCAGACTCCCTGTCCATCTAACTTCACTTCAGAAAAACGAAATGGCGTGGTGCCAAGCAAAAACCATCCACAAATATTGCTGGCCATTCCATGCGGCCTGCGACCGTCCTTCAAAAATAAAAATGGTAAATGGATACACCTGAACTCTTTGTCTGGAAACATGCCCACCAAATGAAAAAGTCAACTAAAATAGTAAAGGGAAGGGAATTAGAGGGGGGTGTTTGTTTATGTGGTGAAATAAACTTGTCAATCTTTTGAACTCCTGATACCTGACATAATAGTTCTTCCCACTATTAATAACTGGAACTGTTCCTGGAGCTAGCAATTCCTCAAACTTCCATTAAAGTTTGAAACTGTAATGTGGGTTTGAGTTAATTATGCCATATCTATTAATTCTCTATACCTATTTTACTCCAAGGGTTGGAAACCAATGCTCCTAAAGATACTTTAGTTCTCCAGCAGCCTAGCATGGCCATTAAGTAGGCCCATTATGAGTTTTGAATACCATTTCGAGGGGCAAATAGGAGACAAAAGATGTCACCAACCTGTTCATATATTGCTGTGTATGTGAAGTTTCCAATATGTCTTCCAGTCTTCTCCATTTGGTAGCTCTTTCTGTGTCCATATTCTCTCTCAATCTATTTCTTTTTTTGGTCTTAAAGGATACAATACATTGTCAGGTGTATATATTAAAAATAAAATGTATTTCAGAAAACAACACCACCTGCACAGTACTATGCTAGCAGATTAACATAAAGATCATCCTAATGGCTGTTATTTGTTAAGTGCAATTTACATTCTAAAAAAAATGAAATATGGATTTAAGAACATTTTAACCTGGCTTTTTATTGTCATTCTAACTAATACTATTATGTGTCCTTTCACAAATAACATTTTTGAACAGCATATCATTCCCTCTACTACAACTTTCAGGGTTTTAAACAAGCCCTCAGAGAAACAATATTCTGGTTTCTTTCTAAATTAGGGAAAACATAAATTTTCTGTTCACGAGCAGTTGTCCAGGTCATAGCCGATCACCTCTTCTACTCTTTACATCCTATGATCTGTAATGTTTCGGCTTCAGCAATATAATAGGTCCAGTCATCTGATGAACTAAATAGAATTATGTTTATTAATAATCCTAATTAAATCACACACAGAACTTTCTGCAAGCTGGCTACACCTGTTTTATTCTCACTCCTTTACTACTGATCCCCCAGCCATCTCTTGGAGTCCAAACAGAGCTGTTCTGGAATCAGCAAGGAATAAGCTAAACCCTAGCTTGGATCCTCTTCAGCCCAAAACATTACATGTCCAGTGGGGCTTACTCCCAATGTGTAGCTAAAATGCAGGTATATTTCAAATAGTATATACATCAAATTAAAGACTAATATATAAAAGGAAGTAAATGTGTGTCAGTGATTTACCACATGCATGGTATCAAATACATTAATCAAACGAAGTGTTTGTGCACAAATGACTGCCTTGGAATTACAGCGTTCCTGTGGAAATGCTAGATATGATCACCTTCCACCAAAAGATAAAGCCATTTATGTATGAAATAGTCATGTAGGGCATGACATTGAAATGCTCCTTTTTCCCCTCAATTTATAATGTCTAGAACTGAGGAATAATTGTTGTTCAGACAATAACTTAAAAGCAATTAGACCCAGAATTGCAGACATATATTTTGTAATGTAGAGTCATTGGTACTCTCTGAGCTTGGTTGTTTGCTTGAAGACATTTCATTACCCGACTAGGTAACATCATCAGTGCTAGTGAGTGGGGGGCTTCCTCCCTGTTTATATACAGTAGCTTGCCCTGCCAGTGTTTTTTGTATGGGTTCAAAAAACAACAATCCTGATTTTATTAAAAAGGTACATAGCCCTTTTCAGTTTGAAAGGCAGATTTGGCATGAATGGGGTCTGAAGTCTACATTTCCAGTCGTGACTGATGTCAGGACAAGGAAGTAACTGAGGCTAGAACAAAACTAAATTTGATTCAATATAATTTATTATAAATATTATTAAAATAATCATATCAACTCCATTTGTTTTACTTCCAATGTATTCAATTATCTACTTTTGCCATATAAAAGTTATAATTTTAGCCAAAGTTACAATTTGGCAGCAAATTGTGGACAATTTTGGGAAGCCCACCTAAGACTTGCAGTTGGTTCCCCTTTAATGTAGTGGATTTATTTTTAAGTACAGTCATAATCTGAGTATATGCTTAAGCACTTTCCTCTCCCCATTTGATTTAGATATTAATTCCAACCAGCATTCATAGCTTTTTTCTTATCCCCAACTTATTTTTCAAACACTAGGAGGAAATACTCACAGAGTTGCAGAAATCCCTATATTCTCTTTCACCTAAAATATACAAAATATTTAAAAGATAAAATCAGTAACAGATTTATTGACAAACTTATACATAAAATATTCCATTTACAATATCAGATCTTAGCACACATATGAGTTACAAATATATGAAGAGTAAAAAGGATTCCCAAAAATTCTTGGACTTCCCTCTAGTAAAAAGCTAAGTAGTATATTCATTCCTTAAAAAGCAATGAGTATTTTAGTGGCTTTTATTCCTAACGCATTCCTTAAATTTTAAGTTTCACACTAAGTTCTAAGAACATGCTCAGATGAAGATGAATACTATCAAGCTAAACTTTGCCTTGGACGCATATAGGGAAAAAGATGTAAATAAAGAGGTATTTATATTACAGAATCAAATTGCTTATTGATTTTTAAATTATGTCCTATATTTATATACACTTAATTGTTTAAGATATCCTGCAAATTCAGAAAAAAACTCTAAAATTCATTAACAATTACAAGACCAAAATATTGCATGTTATCAAAGAGTGAAATAACTAATTATATTGGAATCTTGATGAAAAATCCTGTTTCATGAAAAATACTGGTGTCTAAAGAATATTAATGGGGACGGGGCGGGATTCTTAGTATTTCAACCAACTACAATTTCTTGGATTCTTCTGGGGAAGCCATGACAATAAATGTAAACATGTACAGTGGTACCTCGGGTCACGAACGCTTCTGTTCACGACTAATTCGGGTCACGAACAGCACCGTACGCAAAATTTTGCTTCCGTTCGCGAACGCCGGATCGGGTGACGAACAGGAACTGCGGCCTTTTTCCCTGCCGTGACACATGGTCGTGGCTTCCTGTAGGGAGGGGGACTCTCCCTCCAAGCAATAACC